CCTCAAATCCTCCAACCAAACACAGCGTAAGTGTTTGAAGAATTAATCTCAAGTGCCTTTCATGTTCCTTCCTACTCTTCAAATAAATAAGAATGTCATTAATGAATACCACCACAAACTCATCCAAGTACGATTTCAAAACCCGATTCATTAAATCCATAAAAGTTGCCGGTGCATTCGTAACCCCAAATGGCATGAGTAAAAATTCATAATGGTTGTACCTAGTTCAGAAGGTGGTCTTCTCAACATCCTCTGCTTTGACTTTCAATTGATGGTACCTAGATCTCAAGTCGATTTTTGAAAACACTTGCGCCCCTGTAATTGGTCAAACAAATCATCAATCCGTGATAAAGGATATTTATTCTTCACCGTTACCTTATTAAGTTTTCAGTAATCAATACACAATCAAAGGGTCTCATCCTTCTTCTTCACAAACAAAATAGGGTGCGCCCCACGGCGATGTACTCGGTTGGATGAACCCTTTGTCAAGTAGTTCTTGCAACTGTATTTTCAATTCCTTCATTTCTGCCGGAGACATTCTATACGGAGCCTTGGAAATAGGTTGAGTACCCGGTATAATATCAATGACAAATTCAATCTCATAATCTATCAAGTCCCTTGGCGATTCTTCGGGAAATACATCCAGAAACTCACTAACAATCTCAATATTTTCAACACCCATCTCAATTGTCTCTGCATGCAAAATGCTACACAAATAACCCCTACAACCCTTCTGAAATAGTTTACAAGCTTTCATGGCCGATATCAAATATGATGGAAGGACCACCCCACGTCCCACAAAAGTAAACTCATCTTGACCCGATGGGCGAAACACAACTTGCTTAGATACAAAATCGATGGTTGCATAATACTTAGCTAACCAATCCATTCCCAAAATTATATCAAAGTGTATCATATCAAGAGGCATCAAATTAGTACATAATGGGATATCTCCAAGTAAAAGCTCACATGCAGGATATATAGAAGCACATAACATATAGTCCCCGGATGGGAGAGACACGCACAACACATAATTCAAGGGTTCCATAACCTATTCAAATTAGGAGCAAATGTTTTTGAAACAAAGGAATAGGTGGAACCCGAATCAAGTAACACATGAGCAGGTTGGCCATTGATGGAAAGCGTACCTGAAACCACAGCGTCTGAATTTTGGACATCACCCGGAACAAGAGCGAAGACTCTCCCTTGCCTAACATTGTCTCTAGAAGTAGTAGGCCTTGTCAGGGTCTTTGTTGCAGGAGTGGAACCGGCTGAACTAGCAGTTGGCCTATTCCCTTCCCATTGCCCAAACATAGGACAATCTCTCACCATATGCCCCGTCTTTCCACAATTAAAGCAAGCTCCTGATGCTCGATAACAGACCCCCCGGTGCTTCTTTCCACACTCTAGGCAAGCTGGTGCCGAATCACGGGTAGAACCCGAAGTGTTGGAAGTTCCCAAATTTTGCTTCTTACTTTTTGAGGACGCCGACCCTTTGTGCACATTGGAGCCTTGCCTTTTGCCCTTCCAATCTGAGTACTGATTTCGGTTAGCTTGGTTACTTTCCGCTATGATGGCCTTATCCAATACATCCATATATTTTTGCACCTGCAATACATTAATCTTCTCAATAATGGAGTCTCAGAGACCCCCCCCAAATTTCCTTGCCTTCTTGTAGTCCGTATCGACCATGTATGGTGTGAAATGGGCTAATTCGGTAAATTGCGCTTCATACTCCGCTACGGTCTTGTTCCCTTACTTCAAGTTTTCAAACTCCGACACCTTCCTATCTCGGATACAATGTGAGAAGTACTTCTCATAGAAGATCTCCAAAAATTGAGCCCAATTCAACCCTTGATGCTCTCCTCGAATAAGCATCCACCAACGGCGTGCCTCATCCTCTAGTGTAAAAGCAACTAGCAAGACTTTTTATGCCTCCGTATATGGAAAGACTTCAAACAATTTCTTGATACCAAGCACCCAAGCCTCGTCCTTTAATGGATCAATTCCTTCTTTGAACAAGGGTGGCTTCATCTTCTTAAATTCTTTTGTTAGAGCAATAGTTCGGTCGTCGGCCTGGTGGTCTTGCACTATAGGTGGTGTCATAGGCATTCATGGTAGTGGTTGTTATTGTTGTTGTTGTCTAAAGGCCTCCACCATGTCCATGATCATTGTCTCCATTCTATCAAGTCGTGCGGAGGTTGAATCTTCCCTATCCTCTACCCTTGTTCTCACCATGATCTAGAGAAGCACACATTATAACTTTCCCAAATAATAAACACATAATTCACATTTACAAACGCACATTTTCATGTCATACTTGATTATGGATGCAACTTAAACTCTTCCTAGACTTCTTATTGCTCGCATGGACTCGTGTGTAAGATATTAACTAGTGCTCTGATACCACTCTTTCATGACCCGAACCCGCTCCTAAAAGTTTGGGTCATAACCGGCCGGTAATCACTTGATTACCTTTGGCCTCAAACAAACATATAGAGTACTTATAGTAATGGGGCCAAAAGAGGAAGTACACAACAAAAGAATGAGTCCATTGAGCTATACCAATATGAACAAAATGTAACACATCCACATCATTTACATGCCCATGCCAAAAGAATATAAGTATCGGAAAAAAATTTGTGCATAATGTTTACAAACCCAAGACCACATTAGCAAAAGAAAGCAAGGAACAAGTATGATGTGAGTCAAGACAAAACTCTATCTCGGAGACATGACTCAATTGGGTCTCGAAAAGGATGGCTCCTGAAGCTAACTCTAGGGGTGTGCTCCATGCTACAGATTGCCTACATGTGCAAACATAAAATTGGGTGAGCAAAGCTCAGTGAGTAACAATACAGTAAAACAGTATAAATAGATAGTTATAAGATTCTCACAATATTCAAAATCGTATAAACCAAACGGCCTTAAGCCCAATCATACTTCAAAATGGCCTCAGGACCAACATATAATAAAACAGCCTTGGGCCCAATCATATTTCAAAACGGCTTCGAGCCAAATATATAACAAAACGGCCTCGGGCTCAATCATATTTCAAAACGGCCTCGGGCCCAATATATAACAAAACAGCCTCGGACCCAATCATATATCAAAACGGCCTCGGGCCTAATCATATATCAAAACGGCCTCATGCCCAATATATAACAAAACGGCCTCAGGCCCAATATATACAAAATGGCCTCGAACCCAATCATATATCAAAACGGCCTCGGGCCCAATCATATATCAAAACGGCCTCGGGCCCAACGTTGCACATGTCATATAATATTAATGAGGTTTCTTATTTGAAAAAAATTACAATGTCGGCACCAATCACCGTTCATGGTTCGAGGTGCACAATAACGAACATATAAATATGGTATTATTACTCACAGTGATGATTCATCTTGCGGCATTTCCTCCAGCACACGACCTACACCAAACATGTTGCACACGTATTTGATAAATAATTCATTCATATCATATGCACTTTCTTTTAGTGATTCACAACCCTTTTTAATGGTTGCTAATCATGATTTCACTCGCAAAAGGGTTTAAATAAGGTTGGAAATGCATTCCGGAAATTGGGAGCATCAATACAAAAAATAGGATTTTTTCCCCTGCCTGGTTGCACGTGCGGCCGGTCCAACCCTCGAGCGGTCTGGCTTCGCACGTGCGGAAATTGCAGCCGCTCAAGTGCACAGTGCTATCCAATTTTGGTTCAAGATATAGGCCGCTCGTGCGGTCTAGGCACATCCAGATAGTCAAAAAATGGCCAAAAATGCCAAACCTTCCAAACTCAAATTCATGCAAAAAACAACTCAAAACACATGATATCTAAGCATGATACAAGTGTAATTCCACATTAAACATATCAATCTTGCATCAACAACAATTCCATGGTCTCATATTTTCACAATTTCATGGTTTACATACACAAGTTCAAAATACATATATTCATGAATGATTTTCTCACAAATCTTGTTTGTATGAAACATCTAGGGTTTGTTTCATGGATAAATCATAAAAATGAACTCAAATCAAACAATGGTGTAGAGATTAAGGTCCAATTTCATGCCATTAGCCCTAGTCACTACACTACTCAAAACCCTATCTCAAAATTCCTAATCTCTTCATGATTTCTTGACAAAGATGAGTTAGAGACAAAGATTGTAAATAAATTTACATACCTTAACTCAAATCTATGGTTTGCCCCTTGATTCCCTTCAAATCCCAAGCTTTCTCCTCTTTCTCTCTCTCTCTAACTCACACTTTGGAGCTCTCTCCAACAAATGAAGAACAAAAAAGGCTATACATATCTAACTTAACTCAAAAATTTTAATTTATTCATTACGAATCATAATTTTTCAAAATCTCACCAAAGGCTCTAAAAATCATGTTAATCATAACTATAAAGTTGGTTTTTGTTCATCTCAGCTCTACAGCCTTCAATTTCAGTTCAAAATTTCAATTGCAACAGATATTCCTATTTTTAACAGATATTTTTCCAAATTCACATATTTCCTATATTTAAACTTGCAAATTCATATCAAACACATAATCACATACATAATGAGGCATAGTACGGGTTGGGTTATCACATGTGGGTGTCCCCAAAATTAGGGGTCTCTATCATTGTTTTTGAATGCATCATAAGAAACAATTGGATGCTTGGGATGGGTTAAAATAGACTAGATTAGAATAATTAATAAAATAAAATATTTTATTATATTATATTATTTTTTTACACATCATTTTGTAAAAGGTTAAAAAGTTAACCAAAATAGTATATTCCTCAACGGCGCTAATATAATCATTTATTGATTGATTAATTTTACTTTTATTCTCCAAATTATTATCATTTTTTTTCTACTTCATTATCAAATTATCAATTTTGTCTATTTTTGTAATTAATAAGAAAATAATTACAAGTATGAAAAGAAATAATTCTTAATCAAACAGGCCACTAACTCGCAGTAGCTAGAAATTTAATGAAGTCTAACAACCAATAAACTAAGACCAACCACTACAAATTACATAAAATTCCCATAAGCAGGAAAAAATAAATAACCACAAAAAGTATCAAACTATTCTCTGTAGGAGTTGAACTCGCAACTTCACACTATAAATTCTCTAAATTTCTAATTTTTGTTAATGTAGTCTAATTATAGAGACGATTATATAAATTATAATTGTTGAAAACTAATTTCATAGAAAAAATATTGTTTCAAAATTTGAAAATTATGAATTATACAACAAAGTACTCACTTTTCTTATTATTTTGAACAAACTAGATCTTACAATCAATTTAATGGATATTTGTTTATATGATTTAAGTTGCAAAAATTATAAAATTATTTTT